CAGTTTGACGGTCTCCACACGAACGATTTCTTTCTCCGTCAGTTCCCGCTGTAGCTCTGACAAATCCCTCTTTCTCTTTCGGGGTGTGGCCATTTGGGATTCCCCTTGAGTCATCGCTGACGCTGTGGGTGTGGGAATTCCCTCTTCTCTGCCGTCCTCTGAATCTGTAAAATGGTAAAATGGCGTTGCTTGGCAACAATTACTGTTTTGCGTGTATTCACGTGGACGTGCATCTTAAGACCAGGCGCAGCTACGCCTGAGACTAGTCAGGCTTGGTGCACTCGGTGTAAATTCACTATGTCGGACGTAGCTAAGCCCGACGTTAGAGTTAAGCCCTACTTTTTTACGCCCAGCTGGTGCACTCCACTCCTGTAATATAAATAATGAGTGGGGTTATCGAGAAATAACCTCCCTCCATGCAGTCTTATTATTCAATATTGCATCGGTCAGACCTTGTTTGGCCGTTGCTTCTTATTTCTGTTATTATCTTAATTTCTGTTTACACCACATTCATTCTTATTGGTGTTCACTTCCGTCACATGGACAACAACCACCACTCAGAGACAGTTTCATCCCACAGGCCATGAGACTGTTAAACACCTGAACTCTGTGAAGAACATCCATCTGGTTACATTTTGTATCTGATATATCATATTCCATTTACTTGTATATAGACTCTTCTTGCACTATTTCAATTTCATTTGTATTTACTTGCACATCTCAAAACATTCTCTTGCACTATTTTATCTGTTCTGTCCTATAGATATTCATGTCGCTCTGTTGGAGGAGGACTTCAGTTTTTCATTGCCATATCTTCACTGTAGCTGCTGAGCACATGGTGATGAAGTCTTGACATGGGTCTGGTTTATTGGGTTTAGGTCACCTGTCGCAGGTTTTGTGAATGATGAAGAGGAGAGGGTGACTTGCAGATGTCAGGTCTTTGATATTGTTTGTGTTGTGTCTTTATTAACCCTCTTGAGGCCATGAACAAGTTGCATGCACTCTCATTACATGTTAGACGCTTTTATCCAAAGCGACTTACACACTCAGGGGCAATCCCCACAGGAGCACTTTGTTGTGAAGTGTCTTCAGGGACACAACGACATGCTGACTGCTGTGGGGTTTGAACCTGTGCTCCCCTGACCCCAACACCAGCGCACTAGTCCACTGCGCCACACGCCTCTCGCATGAATTTCTCTGCAACGGAGTGATCTTTTGTTTAACTTTCACTCAAGAGACTTATAGACTACTTTTCACTGTTGGTTTTGAGTACAGTTCTGAGTGAAAACATTCTCGTCTTGTTTTTTCTTTTGTACTCGTAACTATTTGTACATCCATGTGGCATCCCTGTAGCCTACATATGCTGATAGCTTAGCTTGTTATGGAAATAAACATGTATAATACTTGATTGTGTAGCACAGGGTTCATGTTTTAATAGCATTTTTACAAAAAAAAGTCCAGGCGAGCCAAACATATAAAAAAAGGGCTTAGACCTCAGAGAGTTAAACAAAATGGACTCTAACGCCCGTCCACACTACAGCTTAAAAAAAAGCTTGGAGCTGGACGTGTCTGAAGCTCGACCAACAACCAATCACATGAATCTCCCGCCCCTGACACACAAGCAGCGGTTTGATTGGCTAGAGCTTGTACTGGCATATGATTTGATTGGCTGACGCTTCCACCGAAAGCTTCAGAAGCTTCAAAAGTTGAACATTGCTCAACTTTTGCAGCCTGAAACGCCAGGAAAGCTCCGCTCTGCTTCCCACAATGCAGTTCGGCGAAAAGTGACGTCACCCCATTCAAAGTGAATGGGCAGACGCGTTGGAAACCGTTTTTGAAGCTGTCGAAGCTGTAGTGTGGACGGGCCGTTACCGCAATACGGACTCTTGTATGAAACGCAGCTTAGATAACTGGCATTTAGCGCCATAACTCATTGGGAGATTTGACGCTAACTTCTTCTTTTGGGTCTTGTGATGAAGCTGTGAGGTTTATATCAGAATACTCACCCATCATCAGTAAACAAAGGGCTGTAAACATTTAAAGAAGCGTCAGAAAACATTTCCTCTCACGATAAATGTCACCAGCGATGGGAAGTTGTTGACGATGACTTCTTGTTTTTCTGCAGAAAACACATATTAAAAAAGACACTTTTAAAAGCGGAACCCAAAGCAGAGCTGTTTGTTTCTGTGTTTCTGAACAACAAAACTAACAAACCGTTTCTTTACCTGGGCTTTTACATAATGCAAAACCCTCATTATAAGTCAATGCATTCACTCTCTGAACACAGACCGACGTCCCTGTAAAGGTGTTTTCTCCACACATTTTTCATATGCATACATTTGAGCTTTGTGAAAATACACCATGAAATCATCTCCATGTGACACAGACATGTTGACAGTAGAAAACACAGGTGTTAATGAAAGAATAATGACTTTGAACAGCTTCATGTTCTGTCTCCTGACTCATTTGAATACAAAGGCATTGTTAAAGTGATGAGCTCAGTTTCACCTGCGCTCATATCAAGAGTCTAAACTTCCTCTGTGAGAAAGGACTATTCCCATCACACTCAAACATATAAAACAACAGTGGAGTTTCACTTCCGGTTTTTTTCTAATCAAGTGTCAAAATCTAACTCCACTCTGAATTGATGTCGAAGCAGAATTCACTGCAGGTTTTCAGGACTTTCTGTGAAGTATTGTCACAAAGTTATAGATAAATATAACATCAAACTAAAATAAGAAGAGCATATGTGACTTTTTCTTGCAAGAGTTTGCAGAAGTGTGTCAGTAGTGATCAGAGAGGGCAAAAGTACACACATCCTGTACTCAAGTAGAAGAACACTCATCCTGTACTCAAGTAGAAGTACACTCATCCTTTACTCAAGTAGAAGTGCACACATCCTTTCCTCAAGTAGAAGTACACACATCCTTTCCTCAAGTAGAAGTGCACACATCCTTTCCTCAAGTAGAAGTACACACATCCTTTACTCAAGTAGAAGTACACACATCATTTATTCAAGTAGAAGTACACATCCTTTACTCGAGTAGAAGTACACACATCCTGTACTCAACAAGAAGTACACACATCCTTTACTCGAGTAGAAGTACACACATCCTGTACTCAAGTAGAAGTACATATACTGGTGTTTAAAAATACTCTGGTAAAAGTAGAAGTACTGACTGGGGGGCTGTGGCGCAGTGAATTAGTGGGTTGGTTCAAACCCCACTGCAGCAGCATGTCGTTGTCACCCCAAAGTGCTCCTGTGGGGATTGCCCACAGTATTGAGTATGTAAGTCGCTTTGGATAAAAGCGTCTAACAAGTGACCTGTAATGTAAACTTCTTTACTCAAGTGAAAGTAAAGAGGCTTTGAAATGTACTTCAGTAAAAAGTACCCATAACTAGCAGCTGCTTTAAAGAGTACCTGACCTCCCTTTATATTAATAGAACAATAATGTCATTGTTAGCTAATGAATGTTTCCATGCTGAACAACGGCAACATGACAACGTTTCCATTGGTCCCTCTTCTTTAGAGAAGACCAGGAAATGATGGATACACGGATCGTGTTTAAATCAATAGGCACGCAATGACTCTAAAGAATAATGATCACGCATCAAACACACATTCAGACTAAAGGAACCAGCTGTTTGGAAAATGAGAGAAGTAGAAAGTACAGGTATTTGAGTTCAACATGTAAGAAGTAGAAAGTACAGGTATTTGAGTTCAACATGTAAGAAGTAGAAAGTACAGGTATTTGGGTTCAACATGTAAGAAGTAGAAAGTACAGGTATTTGAGTTCAACATGTAAGAAGTAGAAAGTACAGGTATTTGAGTTCAACATGTGAGAAGTAGAAAGTACAGGTATTTGAGTTCAACATGTAAGAAGTAGAAAGTACAGGTATTTGAGTTCAACATGTAAGAAGTAGAAAGTACAGGTATTGTGTTCAACATGTAAGAAGTAGAAAGTACAGGTATTTGTGTTCAACATGTAAGAAGTAGAAAGTACAGGTATTTGTGTTCAACATGTAAGAAGTAGAAAGTACAGGTATTTGTGTTCAACATGTAAGAAGTAGAAAGTACAGGTATTTGTGTTCAACATGTAAGAAGTAGAAAGTACAGGTATTTGTGTTCAACATGTAAGAAGTAGAAAGTACAGGTATTTGGGTTCAACATGTGAGAAGTAGAAAGTACAGGTATTTGAGTTCAACATGTAAGAAGTAGAAAGTACAGGTATTTGTGTTCAACATGTAAGAAGTAGAAAGTACAGGTATTTGTGTTCAACATGTAAGAAGTAGAAAGTACAGGTATTTGAGTTCAACATGTAAGAAGTCAAAGTAAAAAGTCGTCAGAAAAACAAGAAGTGGAGTAAAGTACTGATACCAGAAACATGTACGTAAGTACAGTAACAAAGTATTTGCACTCCACTACTTCCCACCTCTGGTAGTAAGGAATCTTCCTCCTCCTCTTCCTCCTCTTCCTCCTCCTCTCTTTCTGCAGGGTGTTGTCTCCGATCTGACACCGGTATGAATTATGGATTTAATAAAAACTCCTCTGAGAGTCCTCCACTGACACACATCTGCTCTTTCACTTAAACACCGTTTAATATGCCTTATTGTGCATGTGAGACCATTTTCAAGCACAAATTCATGGTTTAATTTCCTCATCGGCAATCTCTAGAGCATGATACACATCTGCAGTGTGTGTTATAGAGAATGACAAAAGAAAACCACATTTATTTTTATGTTTTCATGCAGAATGCAAGTATACACATCTACTCATAAACAAGGAGAAACTGCTATGTGCTAATACGTGCTAAACGTTTATACATGCTAAATAATAATAATATTTAGGGTAAAACGTACATTTGCTTAAATCTTTTCCCATTAATTAAAGTTTTTTGAGTTAAAATGTAAATTTGACCCGAACGCCACACAAGGGTTGAAAGTATATTTTCTGAATTCTTTGTATTTATATAACATGTTGTATTGTCCTGTGTTTCAGAGAGGATGGGATGTTGACAGGTTGTTCCTCGAGCTACAGGAGAAGCTTCAGAGTCACCTGACCTCCGGCCGGATCCAACATGGCCGCCCATCGAATCCGAGCCACGGCCACCAACAACACGTCGCTGCCTCGCTGCCGCTCCGAGGGAACGCTCATCGACCTCAGCGACAGCCTATCGGAAGCCAGTCTGAACGATGTCAAAGGTCAGCTGATCAAGGATTCAAGGCTTTTGTCCTCCGTGCGTAGCTACAGCGTAGATATGACAATGCAAATCTGAGGTCACAGGCTCCTCCAACAGAGCAACACAATAACACAGATACAATAGTGCAAGTAAATACAAATACAATAGAATATCATAGAAATAGTGCAGAATAGTCGATGCATTCATAAATGCTTTTATTCTGCCTTTTACCTCCAGTGTTTACGGCTATTATTATTCATTTTGATTCACATTTGAATCTATTTTTGACCCTTTTTTGTGAAGTAGTGTTAACTTTAAAATACAACATCGTAAAAAGTAGTCATTAAATCCATATACAGTAGTGAGATATTGCAAACACAGAGGATCTCTCCAGCTAATCCAAATCCAAGTTTAAAATCTGTGATCAAACTGGTCACCTTAAGTTCCTGCTGAAGCGTGCTCCAGGTCGAGGGGGCAGAGTATGATATGGCTTTTTTCCCAAGCACCGTGCGCACTGATGGCCTGATCACACGGAGAAAGGGAAACACAGGAAGCGACACGTCTGTAGTTCTAACGAAATTGACTTAGATTTATCAGATTGTATTGTTTTTATATGAAGTTTAAAATACACAAAGCTAATCACTGCAATAGAGAGCCGCAGTGACGCGTCCTAAAACCCGGATGTAAACTCCTTCCGGTTCATTCGTCAAAAATGCAATGTCTCCATAGGGTTTTGGAAAATAGCTGGAAATCAGGTCTGTGGTTGAGACACATTCAAGAGACGGATCACGTTTTGTTCAGAGGATAATCTCCACATGTCTACTTTTATAATTTTCTAATCATAAATCTAGTCGCCAGAAGCAAAATGCTAACGTGATGCTATAAAGGAACTACAGCAGGGTCGCTGCTTCAACGTCACGCCGACTTAAGATCCATGTTCAAACACACAGACTCTAAATGGAACGAGTTGAAGTGTTTGTTGGAACACTTTGCAGGAGGCAGGGACTTGCTTTCAAGCAGAACAGAAACTAACTTAGAGGAGTGTTTACGTGTTCGGCGTAATGACGTACAACGACCTCCACGACTTCTGTAGTCCTATTCAGCCACTTGGTAACAACCATCGTTTCTCAGACACCTCAACTCTTCAGAAATCACCAGTGGGGTCACTGCTGATGATTTAATGTCGTAGAACAAAACGTGATGTGTCTCTTCAGTCAAACACAGACCTTATTTGGAGCTATCTTCCAAAACCCTACGGAGAGATCCCATTGCTTTTTATCGAAGGAACCGGACGTGGTAACAATGCTAACTTACTTCCGGGTTCTAGGACGCGTCACTGCGGTTCTCAATGTGGGAAATACAATATGAACATGAGACTATTCCACATTCTTCCACATATTTCTATAAATGCAGCTTTTTCTAAACATCCTGGCCTTTGGTCGACACCGACGACTGAAAACTGTATTTCCTTTTTGGGAAACTCTGTGAAGATCTATCTGTGTCTAATGCCATTCAACAGTGGCAGCAATACATCCATGCACAGCTGATACGTCAAATAACATTCAATCAGGACTTTCTTACTTAAATAAACAGTAACGTCCCCACTATCTGAAGACGAGAGGTTTCAGAATGACATCAAGTGTAGTTTTAACGAAATGACCCAATACAATCAATGGCAGCTTCTTTTCGATACCAGTTTAATGGTACGTTAATTCAAAGTGAAAGAAAATCACATGTATATATATATATATGTTAATGTGCAAGATGGCTGTTGTTGATAAGAGTGCAGCGTGCAACCTTTTGTCCGTTATGAAAGCACCATCAAGACACTCATACTGCCATACCTCACATTAAGACGCATGCTCTTCACATAGCAGATATTAGAAGTGAATAGAGACACAGCATTCGTTTTGGCTTGTATCTTTAGAGTCTTGGCTTTTGTTGTGAGGGGTCAATAAGAAGGTGTATGGAAGAGGATTAGGGTCACACGTGAGACCTTTCAAACAGTTACAAAAAATGTAGTTCTGAGAAAATAAATCAAAATTCTGGGAAAACATTTGAAAGTAAATTTGCAGTTATTTCTCAGAACTAAAAAGAGAAACACGTTTGATTCAGTGTTGAAGAAAGATCGTTTACACACGAGCAAATGGGGTTAAAACCGGTGTGGACTTTAAATTCTCATTACATGTGCACTCTTTGTTTGTTGACAAGACATCGAGGCATGTTTAGTGTAAAGTGAACAGCAAGTAGACTTTGTTCTTTCTGTCACTTAATGAATCACAAGCATCCGGAGCAGATTAATTAGTGTTCTGGGGCCTCATTTATAACGCCGTGCGTAGGATTCACGTGGGAAGGTTGCTTACGTAGTAGAAATCCAAAAAATAGGGACAGAAATGTTCCGACATTTTCCGATTCACCAAACATTGCGTACCGGCGAGGAAAGTGCGTACAGCACTTCCTACGCCGGTTTCCCTTTATAAATCACAATCGACTCGAAATGCGGCGCAGCTTTTGCGGGCTTCACGTAACGCCCATATTTGCCTATAAATAGTCAAAGAAACGCCCATTTATTCATTCTGACTGACTTTATGAAGAAGATCGCAGGAAATGAGGACAGAAAGCTAAAACAAACGTCTCACACCGTGTCAGATTCTGGTTATTTTGGGGAGGTGGAGATAAATCATATTGTTTGGTGGATGCAGTTTGAACCAGAGGAGCAGCATGGAGGTCGGATCGTCACCAAAATAAATAAATAAGTGGTCCGAAAAAGGTTAATGACAAAATAAATACACATAGCCTTCCTCAGGCAGTGTGTTTGTACCGGGGACAGGAGACACCCCCCTTGATGAGAAACTGTAAGAAGTGATCGGGAATCCCTCCGGAGTGGAGTCATGACGACTGGATCTGAATTATGTTTTTGTATTTGGTGGTTTGTGTCTCAGCTGTCGATCAGCTGTGCGTCTCCACTGCAGCCTGTGCGTCTCAACCCCCCCCCCCGCCCCCCTCCCCGCAGCAACCCTATATCCACCAGTTAAAGGAAATACAACCAATGTGTTGTGTTATATCAGCTGTACAATTGACCACATGGTGTTCTTAGTTTCCATACCTCCTGTGTTTTATGAGCGACTTATCAAGTCTTGGCAAACGGCATAAAACACGATTAAACGTGATAGTATATAAAACCATGCTCGTATCTACAACCTATAGAAATGCAACACGGCGTCAGTTTAGACGTAATTCTGTCCTTCTGCTCACCGCATCATTTATGAGAAAACATTTCATAACATTAACGCAACATATTCCAGGTGGTTTTAAATAACATATCCGTATTTATTTATTTCTCCAAGTTATGTGTTTGTGTGCACTGAGGAGTCTCAAACAGGCGTTTGTTTCATCATTTTGAGATTGGCTTTAATCAATGTTTGAAAATGAATTCTTCATATCTGTTGAATGAGAGGTAACATTTTATTCATGGTATTATTTCCACATATTTCTCTCCATTCTTCCTTCTGCCAACGGTGTCGCAGTTTCTCGTCTCTCCCGTTGTTGTGCTTAGTGCGTACGCATGGGTTAGAGTTTGCGTGGAGGACCGCACGTTTTCCCGCCAAGTTAGTATTTTATAAATCGCAAACATTGCGTAGAAACTGGCGTGTTGAGCGTATATCCCTTTATAAACGAGGCCCCAGGCGTTCAGTTTTCCCCGCTCTGAGCTGTTGTCTGTGCTCCACTTCTCTGAAGCATCTGGTAGTGACAGTCCTTCGCTGCATGGGAAAGCCTGCATCTATTCCATTATGCATTTTGTTGATGTCCTTGCAAGCAGGGAAGTTATTTTGTTCTTCTATTTCACTGTTCAATGTAGGCCAAAGAAAATATGCACTTTAATCATGTTTTTATTCTTTCAACATTTGCGAAATAGTATAAGAATCTGAAATACATGAATGTTTGCTAACTGTTTTGTTACAGTTGTTTCCATTATAAAAAATTAAGAAATACATACAAATAAAAACAATGAAAATGGGAACATAGAAAAATGAAATGTGTTAAAACATATTTATACAACAATATAAAATATGAACACGGTTTCTATGGTTGAGTATAAAATCAATGCAGGGTTAGATATGATCTGCTTTTAAGAAGAAATGTACAGTATTGTATAAATGCAATGGTAAACCAGAGTATTGCCCATTAATTATTACCCAGAAGTAACGGACTGTTAACCCATTGTATCGCACAGATATAAATAAATGATAGCTGCTGACAGGGGGGAATATATTTAATTCAAAGGATCTAAAAAATATCTGACAGGGCATTCCCTAGGGGTATTATTATAAAAAAGACATTGTGGTAAAATCCCCCTTTTCCTTATGGACCTGATCTTGGGATCCTGAAAGGAATTTGCTAGAAGAAACTCTACAGACTGCACCGAGCGGCAACATTTCAAAGATACGATAACACTTTAATGGTCAGATCAAGTCTGACATTTGACTTGCATCACAGCAGCTCCATGTGTAACATCAACAGACAAGTATCAAGACACAATACATGAACAACAAACAACAAACATTGAACATAGCAGCACAATTACTGAGAGAAAAGCTGCTCAAAGCGCCTTCAGCGTGCATCTGATCTGATTCAGCTCTGTGTTCACTGAGAGGACTGACTGGAGCACAAAGGATGCTTCAGTCACATCGCATGCAATGCATGCATTTCAACTCATTCCACTTGTGTTCTGTTTCTGTTCCAGTGCCTTCTCCCAGTGCCTTGCGCCTGGACTCCACTGCCTCCTTCGGTGCCGCTCGGGAAGTCGTGGCCATCAAAGACTACTGCCCCTCCAGCTTCACCACGCTAAAGTTCTCCAAAGGGGATCGCCTCTACGTGCTGGACTCGTCAGGAGGCGAGTGGTGGTACGCCCACAACAACACGGAGATGGGTTACATCCCGGCAGCTTACGTGGAGCCCATCAACTTTAGGGACTCGTCTTTCAGCGACAGCGGGATGATAGACACCGTAGGGGACGGTATCGAGGAGGCAGCCAAAGAAATGGACCTCTTAGGGGAGTGGGCCGGGGTGATTCTGAAACCCACCACCTTCCAAAATGGGAATCCTTTCGCTTCAACCAATACCTCGACGAACCCTTTCCTGAACGGGGGTCCTCTGAGCTCCCTTGATCAGAACAGTAATGAGAAATCAGTGGACCTCTTATTGTTTGATACGCTCACTCCGTCAGTGCCCAACTCCACCAGCAGCACCACAACCAATGGTTTCAATAGTGTTTTTAACCCCATTAGTCCCAGTGTAGGACCGGGACAAACGCTGCGCAGGGACAACCCGTTTTTTTAGAAGCAAAAGATCCTACAGTCTGTCCGAACTGTCGATCCTTCAGGCTCAGTCCGACGCCCCTCAGGGCTCCTCTGGGTTCTTCGGAGGCTTGAAAGCACCGGCACCAGAGCAGTTTCAGAGCAGGGAGGACTTCCGGACGGCTTGGTTAACCCATCGTAAGCTAGCCAGGTCCTGCCACGACTTGGACTCGCTCGGACAGAACCCAGGATGGGGTCAAACGCAGCCGATTGAGACCAGCATCGTCTGCAGGTTGGACAGTTCAGGAGGCGCCGTCCAGCTTCCCGACAGCAACATCAGTATCCTTTTACCGGAGGGCCACGTGGCACCGGGCGACACCCAGCAGATCTCAATTATAGCTCTGCTGGATCCCCCTCTGGAGCTAAACAACGACCGCTGCACCACCGTCAGCCCCGTGGTGGAGATCAAACTCAGCAACATGGAGACCAAAACCACCATCACTCTGGAGATGAAAGTGTCCGTGGTGGTGAAGATGGAGAGCCGGGAAACGACAGAAGTCCTGTGTGTCAGGAGTGATTGTAAAGAAGGACCTTACAGACCGATTCCTCAGGCGTACGTGTACGGTGACACGGTCCAGGTGTGTTTGGATAACCTGGAGCCGTGCATGTATGTGTGTGTGGTGGCTCAGTCCCGGTCCTTATCTCCAGACACCACAGTTTGGGAGAACGTGGTTAAAAAGATAACGTTAGGAGTGTACGGTCCCAAACACATCCACCCGTCCTTCAAGACCGTCGTGGCTATGTTTGGTCACGACTGTGCGCCAAAGACGTTGTTGGTGAGCGATGTGGGTAAACAGGTTCAATCTGCTCCATCAGTGGTGCTTCAACTTTGGGGTAAGCACCAGTTTGTCCTGTCCAAACCCCAGGACCTCAGTGTCGGGATTTACTCCAACATGGCCAACTACGAGGTAAAGGCGAACGACAAGGCAAGGGTGGTACGAGGCTTCCAGGTTAAACTAGGCAAAGTCAGCAGGCTCGTCTATATGATTGCCTCGCGAAACACCGACGATGTTTCGGACTTCACCTTGAGGATCCAGGTTAAGGACGACCTAGATTGTATACTGGCTCAGTTTTGTGTCCAGACGCCAACACCGCCACCCAAAACAGGGCCAAAGACATCGGTGCAAAGGCGTTTCCTGAAGAAAAAGGAAGTGGGGAAGATAGTCTTGTCTCCTCTCGCTGTTGCATCCAAGTACCCCGTGTTTCAGGACAGGAGAATAAACAACTTAAAGTTTGGAAAGCTGATCAAAACGGTCATCCGACAAACGAAGAATCAGTACTTGCTGGAGTACAAAAAAGGAGACTTTGTGGCCCTGTTGAGCGAGGAGAAGATCAAGCTGAAGGGTCAGCTGTGGACAAAGGAATGGTACATTGGATATTACCAGGGCAAAATGGGATTTGTTCACGCCAAGAACGTGCTGGTGGTTGGTAAAGTTAAGCCTATTTACTTCAGTGGGCCCGACCTCACCACTGCACTTTTACTGGAGCAGACACTGAAGCCCTGTAAGTTCCTCACGTACATCTACGCCTCCGTACGGACTATTCTCATGGAGAACATCGGAAACTGGCGGGCGTTTGCAGACGCCCTCGGATACGCCAACCTGCCTTTGACACATTTCTGTCGCGCCGAGCTGGACAGCGAACCAGAGCGGGTCGCATCGGTTCTGGAGAAGCTGAAGGAGGACTGCAACAATTCGGAGAGCAAAGAGCGAAAGTCCTTCCAGAAAGAGCTCCTAACAGTGAGTCAAAACCTTGGCATCAGTTGCTGTGACTCAGCATTTCTCAAAGCTTTTTTTTTTAAACTTTGTTTTTTATTAGTTCTCGTTTTTGTTACAATAATGAACAGACAAACAATATGAAAGCAGACAGGGTCATCCTGGGTACAAATAAATGCTTACTATGTTGTAGAAAATATTACACATAATATACATACAATTCGTACTTGCACACACATTTATACAATCGTATACACATTAATCTCCTTAGATGCTCCAACAGTTTGTGCAAACGTGTGTCGGGCTAACAAAGGCAGGGTTGCATCACACTATCATGGTTTCTCAACGCTTTTGAAGGAAATGCAAAGCCTGTCTTTCTCCGTTGCGTCCTTCATGTGTCAAATGAAATGGTCATGTTTGTCTTCCTGCTGGAGAGCAATGCTTTCTCCTGTTATCTGCTCCAGGCGTTTGGCTTCAGACCCCCCCCCCCTCTAGTCTCTTAATTCTGCTGGGAGTGCAGTCGATAAGTGCTGTGTAGGCACCGAGGTCTAATCGGGACCTGAGGGGCTGTGGAGGGCAAACAAATAGCTCTGAGTTCCTGTGCAGAGTGCAGTTTGCTGGTCCTATAAATCCAATTGATCACTCAGGCTGCTTTTAATTTAAATCTTTATGTACATATGAATCAAAGCCCTCAGGGAGACGAACCGTGCAGGGATAGAGCTCAGTGAAACACACCGTTAGGCTTTATTTACAGCATGTAGCTATTTAGAAACCCACAAATACTGCACCTATCCTGAGTGTCTTTAAACAGGTGCTTGTAGAGGTACAGATTCATTCACAGTGTAACCCTTCTTCTTGGACAGCAATTATGAAATACGGCCTTTTTCCAGATTTCGTTCGAAAATCTGACGTTTTTTCTTAAACTGGGATTTAATTTGTTCTTTTATATTAAAAGAACAGCAGAGCCTGTTCATGCTTCTTTCCTTTCCTTAGTATTTTCAGCTTTTGGTGCACAATATCTGAGCTGCGTGAGTGTTTAAACGAGGCACTTGGTTGTGAGTCGCCTGTCACGGAAATGTGGATTTTCATTGTCGCCTCAGGCCGTCTGGGGAGCGATGATCATCCTGACGTCTAAACTGCCATTAAGTCTGCCGACATAAAGCTTTGCATTTCCATTTCTAGCGTGTGTGTCCTTACATGGTGGAGACACTGCGATGTTTTCAGAGTGTTCCTAGCTGCCTTTACTTAGCTTCTCGTATATTCATCACATTCTCCGTCAGAGGTCACGGACCAACTCCAGCTGAAGGAACTGGGAGCAGAAACTCTATAATTTACGCGAGGTTGTAAACACTAGTTAGAAGCATTTATAGACAGAGAGAACTGCACGACATAATCAAAGGTGGGGACGGAAAATATGGCCTTTTGAAGGGAATTCCTCTCTGATGAATATAGGTCTGTTTTTTCAGGATTACACCTAAACTACTGCTTACTGTTAGCACACAGCACGCAGCGATCGAGCACATTTGAGGACGCTTTGTTTAACCCACACAAATATGCAGTTTGCTCCCTGTGTAAACATCTGATGTTTGTTTTCTGTCCTCTGAAAAGTGGATTCAGTTGCGTGTGGGCCTCAGATGAAAGCTCAGGGAGTCCAAACACAGTCGGGTGAAACCCCCGTCTTCTTGCTAAATGTTCTTCGTCACAATGGGAACACCTCTCACGATTTTCCGGTGTGTCGTTGACATGGACTGGAGTGTATTTTTAGGAGAGCTCACTTTGTGCTCATGTCTGAATGCTTTGGGGTCAGCAGCAGTATGGAAACACATCCAGTGAATATGTTACAGATGTTCCATGTGTTCGGGATTCTGCTTCTAACGCTGCTCTGTACTTCTGCTGTAACATGTGCAGAATATCACAGCACCAACACAATATGTTCTGGGTTCTTGAATGGGTTAGATACGGTTGTACATGTGTCCGTTAGGAGTTAAAACATGAGGTCAATTAGGTGTTTTTGCAACTTTGGATGTAACGATTTGTGGTTTTAGCTCCAGGTGATTATACAATATGTTTAGATATATATTAGATTATAATCTTTAATGACCACACAGCCAGGCTGGTGGAATTCGTGTTCAGTGCAGATTATTACAGCTTGTTCCATACAATAAACAGTACAACACAGCACAGGGCAAAGACATACATGATGACATAAATACATGAAGTTCAAGGTGTGGTGGATTGTGATAATCCTCCTTGACCCGGACCCCCCTTTTGCTATCTTAGATTTTCCTTTCGAAGCTCACAACACTTTACGGCTGCAACTAACAATTATTGTTTATTATGATCAACCTGAATGTTATTTTTGATTAAACCATTCGTCTAAGAAATTTCAGAAATAGTGAAAAACTGCAAATTCTAGTCGACCTACCAAACCTCCAAAACATTCAATTGTTTATGATATGAGAGAGAAAAGCAGGACATTTTTGAGAAACTGCATTTTTGTTGGATTATAAATACTTTTAAAATGGATTGACTATCAAAATAGTGCAGTTGCAGCTCGAGCTACTAATATGTTGATTTCTCTTTGAGTCCTTTAGTTATTTTGTCTTGAAGTGACACATTTTGGGATTTTAAAAGATTGTAATACTATCTCTTCATAGAAGACAGTGACAGTAGATATGTGACAGTAACTTCAAGTAGGCCGAAGAGGAGATCGTAGTAACATGGTCAGTGTCTTAAACCCATAAAACAGGAATCTGTCCGTAATTCTCCCCAAATGTAGTCCCTGAACGCCTCTCGGACTCATTTTAACTCCATATCATCAGACGTCAGCGTGCTTTAGTGACACGTCTGAACAGGGTGTTCCTCAAGGAAACTCAAACACTGTTAAAGCCATAAAATGTGTGTGTGTGTGTGTGTGTGTGTGTGTGTGTGTGTGTGTGTGTGTTGTGTGTGTGTGTTGTGTCAGCAGAGTGGTATGAACCTCAGCAGATGGTGTTATTGTAGATTGTTCTCTTAGCAACACGGTGGTGTTTCTCTCTTCTCACATACGTTAAATCAAAATCATAAACACTTTGACTTGTAGCTGAAGGTGTTTCTATGTACCGTATATACAGTGAGAATAAGGCGCTTAGCAGACAGATTAAAGTGGACGTCTCAACAGTGACCACACACTGCAGAATGTATTAGATAAGATTTCTGCACGCGGGAAACTTTCTAGTTGCATTAGTATCAACAGAAAGTGGCATCAATGCATCCGTCTGAAACCTTTCCCATTTAAATGTTTAATACATTTCTTAAAGGGGCTCTATTACGCTCTATTACGCTCTATTACGCTCTATTACGCTCTATTACGCTCTATTACGCTCTATTACGCTCTATTACGCTCTATTACGCTCTATTACGCTCACTCTCAGCTTGATTTTAGTGTTGTGTGCCTCTACTTTGATCTGTTTCACAGTAGAGGCACAGATATGTATGTTTTGTACCTAAGTTCGTCACGTAACATGCTATGAACGTCGCTAAAGTAAAAAAACACGCTACATAGGCACTGAAGATTGAACACCATGTAGCCTAACATGCGTAAATACATTTAAATTAATTTGCTTTCAAACAAGCGGTCTCCTTTGTTAAAGCTGCTGTTCTTATCATCTTGTAGTGAGGAAGGATTTGCAAAGGACACATTATAACAGTGCAATATGGGCTGATTAGACTCATTGAATTTCTACAACAGAATATTTAATGTTTTCCTCCTGGAGTTTAATGTCTGGACTCGTTTGTTTAGCGGCTGTGTTGTTGTTGTTGTTGTTGTTGTTGTTGTTGGGGGGGGGTGTTCAGGATCAGGTTGTGTTGCAGATGTTTCCTGCCGGGGAGACGCCAGTACACGGCGTCTACGAGCAGCAAGCTTTCAACAGCGATAGCTGTTCATTGTTCCAATGATAATAAACAAAAATGTGCATAAAGCATATTTGATAAGAGTATTAAAAACTTGAAAAATATTCCTCTTAGGTACATTTAGAACAGATACAACATGTGCGATTAATTATTTACTATAAAC